ATTTCAGAACAAAAATATCAATACTGAAACTTGCAGGGACAAAAAAGGAGTCAGATCTGTATCCCATATCTTAGTATTATATTGTTTTACGTCCCATTCGAGAATATTTTACCCATACAGAGATACCATATCTAAGCTTTTGTAATTAAAGGATATCTAAACATGATTTTTTTTATTGGCAAAATGTATTAATATCTTGGTATGAATATTTAGCGGGTTGAAAAAGTTCCACGGTTGTGTATGTGTTACTATATTATTCCTCTATCTTACTCTTTGCAAAATTTGACAAATTGATCAACTGCATGAACAATGACAATATTCAGAAAATGTTTTTAAGGATGATCTGGTGTTTAAAGGCATCTTCCTTTTGTCTAAAATGAAGAAAAATAATGGCGTATGCAGGTTAATACTTCTGTACAGAACCGACCAGACCAAACCTGACAGCCGTCCCACAGCAGTCCCACAGCGGTTCTAGCAGTCCCATTAGTCGAACAAAGCAGTCCAAGCAGTTCTAGTGGGCGGGGTTTATTAATTTAATGGGTGGAGCTTACTCAGAAAAGAGATTACCAAAAAACAATGGAACTATGAAAGGCAGTTGAAATTGATTCTGGATAGCATCAACAAACTTCTAAAATTCGCACATGTACATGTATGCGACAGTCATTTCTGAACAGTACACGCATAGAAAGGATTTGAAATAATATTTATTGAAGGAAGACTTTCACACCTAATAATAACATGAATATTTAATCACATGTATGTGGTTTATTAATATTTCATCAAAATAATTCTATTTCATTATTTTATGTGATTAATATTTGTAATTTTAAGTCCTGATTATTGTCACTTCCGTCAGCCATATCATGATTGCAGGAAATTTATACTGATTGCAATTATGCAAAACGATGTCTGTAACTCTAAAGCATTACAGATTGTGATCACAAAATTGCCATCATCAATTTGCGCGTTATTTTGGCTCTTTATCACTTTCCCCAAGTGAAGCCATATATTTCATCTTTGAGTAGTTTTGACGAGCGATTTTAGTGTAAAGTAACCAAAATACACATCTAACACTTTTCATAATTTTCGGACGCATAATCAAAATATTTTCGCATGGAGAGAAATGCTACAGGGACCTGGAAGAACTTTTAAACCATGTATATAGAGACTGCTTTATTTGTCGTTAAGGAGTGAGCATACCCTGCGGACGGTCACACCCGCCGTATGCTTTTTGTCATTAAATAATGGGTTAATCTATCAACAATTCAATATGTAAATAATGACTTAGAAATTAATATATCATCATTTGACTCAATGATAGATTTTATATGCTGACAGAGTTATTGGATCGACCGTGGAACTTACAAAATGATGATTTCAAGGAGACTGATGATATACTTGTTGAATCAACTTGCTTGTCAATAACTTACCTCGTTTTAGAAATTGTTCATACTTAGATCATGCCTTTGCATATTGAATTCACTGAGAGCTATAGGATATAAACCCAGTATGAAGGAGATGAAGGTATATTGCATCAGAAAGGGAAGACGACGATTTAAAACTTAAAATCATCGCATTTGTCAACACACTTTCTTGCTTAGATTACCATTAACGTCTTTTTCTAGTATTATATCCAAATATGGAACAGATGTATCAGACCCATTTATTTCATGTTTACTGGAATACATAGTATTGACATATAAATGAAAAAAAAAAATTATTTGTCCGTACGTTGTGAGTTTATGAGTTTATCTTAATGTCGCATTGAAGATCACAAGCCACTAGAAAGTGTTTTTTTTTCTTTTCACGTGTACAATACTGAATAAATTCTACCCTATGTGATTGTTATTTACTGAGGAGGTGCAATTGGTACCCATTGGAATTTCAATATATGTTTAGAAGACCCTATCTCCACAAACCACGTAGATATTGTCAATCAGAAACTCAAGCATATTTTAAACATCAGTTTCAGAGTATTTGTGTGTATCATGTGTATGATAAGAATGTTTTAAACAAATTAATTTTGCAAATGACCAATAACAAGGCTAGTAATTTTACAAGTTCTATTTTTGTCAATCAACAAAAATTTTCAAGAGATTTACGAGGACCCAATCAACCGATTCCGATATGAATTCATACATCGTGCATGTATTCTAATTTTAAAACATGAAATTCCTTCCTAACAAAGCGGCTGCAGTAAGATAAAAAAACATGAAGGTATTTTGGTGATTTTTTTTAACAGAACATAAAAAGGGTTTGCTAATGTATATTTAGACAATTAAACAATGGGCTTGATAATCAGAGGTACTTTTAAATTAAAAGGCAGAGATTTTTTACAGGCGGTAAATTCCAGTGAGGGAGGGGCTTATTTTGTACAGGTGTACATGACTTGAGGGCTAGAAGTCTACCTGTGGTCATCTGTCTTCTAATCTCTATGCACAGGAAGTGATTTGATACACATTGAAATACCAAGATGTCAAACTTTACCTGTTTTTAAAATTTTGAGATAAATTAAATTCGAATTTAAAAGTTGTAAGTAAAGTTTTTTTCTCAATAATCTATATTGATTTATTTTTGAATATTTAATAACACACATTTCCGTTAAAGGAAATTATGATATCATACTATAAATTAAAGTATTAAAACAAAGATTATTTTAGATGTTAGTGTATGTGTTAATTTAACAGAAATCTATTAACGACCAAATTAGACTTAATTTATTCATCGACAGCATCCCATCTATTAAATGAAAAGAGAGCTGTGTAAACTACATTTCATTTCTTTAACAAAAAATAGGCTTCGTCACCATGAAACATGTAAAAAAACCAGATGATTCGTAAATTCTTATCTGAATAACAAAGGACAATTTAAAGAATCTATGATTAGAAACGTTCATCAATATTTTTAGATTTAATTACTTCACACAGTATAAGTAGGTTTTAACGCTGATATCTGCATGTTGTATGTACGTACCTTTCTAAAATGCCATTGCCTAATTGTTAATATACAAAACAAAAACAGATCTACCACCGGTGTGTCTGACGCTTGCCCTGCAGTTTTATTTTACTTATTTTTATTTTTTTTTTTTTTGTTCAGTTTTATGAAATTTGTTGTGTTTGTATACATGTTAATCTATTTTGTTTTTATTTGTTTTAAACAATCTCTTATTCTTATACTTTGAAGGTATCCATTTTCTTCGTTATGATATACGCCTAGAGTGGTTATATATTTTTATGCGCAACAATATTGTATGAACTAAGTACAGGGGAGGGGGGGGGGGGTAAATTAATTCAATTTTTTTCAAGTCATGCAGGCACACGAAAATAATGACGTCGCACCAACGTAATATAACGTCGTGATGAAAATATAATACTTCTGATGAAAAATTGTAAAACTTTAAAGTTTTTTTGCAAGAAATTGAGTGAGAACACATATTAATTTTTTTTTAATAAATCGCTTCTAAATTAACTTCACATTCATTGAATCATGTAATATAAAATTCGTCTGCTTCGTTTTAATGTTATGATTATAGTTTTGAAATGCGTATACCGGCGGAAAACGGACATTTTACTATATATTTCATTGAAAAAGAGTCACTTGTTCTCATCAACATTAGCGCATTTGAATGACGATTACAATCTAACCACGCAGACGAATCTCAAAAAAATTTCAGAAAGAAAAATTTAAAACGAGAGGAGTTAGCTGACAAATTTTTAGCCTATATTTTAAGGCAGACAGTAAACCAGCGATCTACCTTAAACTGTATCATATTATAATCCTTTCAAATACTAAAAGCTATTTATAATTTATATATTATAAAGCTAAATATTTTCATAGTATTACACTTTCTCTATACCATATGCTCGGTATACATCAAAGGATAGAAGATAAATTTTAAGGTCCCCACGAGCACCAAACAAAATGTACAGGGTATACACAGGGACCATTAAATAAATGTCAATCAAGTTCCAGCATCCAATGATGGACCTTCATGCACTTGATTGACACGTCTACCCAGACCAGGTATTTTCAAAGCGGTGCTTAAAATCTCTGCCTTTAAAGGCAAATTGGAATACAGAGATCAAAACTTCATCTTCTACCGGTTTTGTTATGTGCCCTGACTCAGGCTGACTGATCATCACAGCGGGATCGTCGTATTTGTAAAGTCCCAGGTAAGATCTTCCCACTACTCCAGAAGTGGATTAGTATAACTTCCTGCTTTCTACTTTTGTGTCCGGAATGATAATAAATGAAAGTATACACAAGATTGATATTTTTATATGCGTAATTTATGAAGCTTGTTTATTTTTTTACGGAAAGTTGTACACACAGTACAGCGAATTGGTCAATAATTATCATGATAAGTTTATTGTTTGATTAAGCAAAATTAAGAGTGGAATCAGATTATTGCAAATTGTTGGCACTTGAGTATTTTAAGGACTTTTTAAATGGGTGTTGAGGTATCCACGTTCCCTCTAACACAAAACTAGGTAATGCTGAGTACATACATCTATACCTATAAATTCATAAATTTTGCAAATAAACTCCGAAACGTAGTATTTACTTACTTCTCTAACGATACACTATACAAAAGATGATGTCCTTAAATTATATTTAGACTTCACTCGGATAGTAAGTATCGTAAATTAAATGAAAAGTCTATTTCAATTTCCTAAAAAAAAAACATGAAATAGCATAAACATGAGTATGGTGGCGTTTCCGGTTTGCGGATCTAAGAAACTGACAAATTTTAAAGAACCTGAAAACAAACAATCGTTTATTTATTTCATAAAATGCCACCACTGAATTATTCAATCAAAAACTTGATTTCAATGATATATATATATATATATATATATATATATATATATATATATATATATATATATATATATATATATATATATATATATATATATATATATATATATTATGCTTCCTCTTTCCAGCAAAAATTAAATGAACAGTAACCTAGAATACTATAACTTAACACACATGTATATGTTGAAATTGTTGTTTATTAAGACTTGATATATTTCAAGCTAGTATATACAAAAAACAAAATGTGGCAAGCAAACACCGGTTGAGACCAATTACAATTTACAGGCATTAGCAAAATGTACAAGTCTAGAATGACAAACCTGTATATTAGAAGTTTTGTAACTATAACCATTGCAAACACAATAAGTGGTATAATACATCAAAATTACAATATTCCAAAATACTTGTATGCAAACATACATGACTAGAAAAATCATTGTAAGTGGCAGAAGGTGAGGTCCAAAGGCTCATAGCTCAAATTCTTTTTTATAAAAAATGGGAGAGGTGGGAGGGTTTAAAAAATTTTTCTCAGCCTCCTCACAAAAAATGTCTACTGTCTTACAAACTGTATAAAGTGACGCTAACTCTCGACCAATCAGATTGCATCATTGAACCTGAGGCTCCCAGCAGGGAAAAATTGCATAGGCCCTTATAATGGTTTACAGTTACAACTAATTTACTACATAAACAATATATATGTTGAACATAACACAAAATGAACACAACTTGCAATATTAAATCATTCGTCAGCATAAAATTATTTACTGTCATAAATGATATTTATGCTTCCTCTTTCCAGCAAAAATTAAATGAACAGTAACCTAGAATACTATAACTTAACACACATGTATATGTTGAAATTGTTGTTTATTAAGACTTGATATATTTCAAGCTAGTATATACAAAAAACAAAATGTGGCAAGCAAACACCGGTTGAGACCAATTACAATTTACAGGCATTAGCAAAATGTACAAGTCTAGAATGACAAACCTGTATATTAGAAGTTTTGTAACTATAACCATTGCAAACACAATAAGTGGTATAATACATCAAAATTACAATATTCCAAAATACTTGTATGCAAACATACATGACTAGAAAAATCATTGTAAGTGGCAGAAGGTGAGGTCCAAAGGCTCCAAAAGTTGAGGAGATTTGCCAAATCTCTGAAACTACCCCACCAGAAGCCACGCATGAATATGAAACAAGGTCTCAACCGGTTAAGCTCCAACTCGAAGAGTATCACAAGCAAACCAAAAAACCTGTTCTAAAACTTCATTCAAATTTTATTAATGACTAGAAGTAAGTACAAATTGATTAAAAATCCCAAAACAGTTTAACTCTAAGGAATAAAACTTAAATTGTGCACTGAGGTATTATATACATTAAGTCACTAGCCCCAAGCAAGTAACAAGTCATTACATGTATACACTTAACTTCAAATTGGGGAATTGTGGTGTTTTACAGTCTTTCATGTTCCAAACAAGAAAAGCTGCTAGCCCCAGCAAGCAACTTTCAGATCACAAATGTCAGGCAACAAAAATTAAGAAAAGCTGCTGGCCCCAGCAAGCAACTTTCAGATCACAAATGTCACGCAACAAAATTTAAGAAAAGCTGCTGGCCCCAGCAAGCAACTTTCAGGTCACAAATGTCAGGCAACAAAAATTAAGAACTGGTTCCATACCCAACAGGAAACAGAATAATCTTCTAACAGATGAAATAAATGAGAGCTACCAGCCCAAGCAGGTAACTTGGCATTTAAGTAAACGGGGTTATATGGCTAAGCAGGGGAAAAGCCCTTGTCATGGTACAATTTGTGGTATCTTACATATTAGAGCGGATATACTTTAAGAAAGCATTTGAATGCCATCTACCCATTGACCTGATTTGGGCATCAGATAGGCCTTTATCTGCTGCTACAGTAGCAGCCCCGATACGAAAACTATGACCCTTATAACGTGAACTATCCAAATTACAAAGGCGTAAGCAACTCCGCAAAGTTCTGTCGAAAGTGGTACGCAGAATGGGTGATCCTGTATTTGAAACAAACATTGGACCTTGGCAATTTGTTCTAACTTTCAAATAATCAGTGGTTGCTGATATAGCCGAAATTTTACAATCACCATGAGCAAAGGAGATGACCTTTGGTACCCCATTAGAGTTATGTTTGAATTTTTTGAAACACACATTTATAGCAGTGATTTTACCCTTAACAGAGGAAAGTGTTACATCTGCTAATTGTACTACATCACTAGCTTTCTCAGGGGCTGCACATATCAGCTCTCCTATTCTAGCAAATGATGAAAATGCAAACAGAAATAGCGCTTTGAACAATGATTGTGTATACTTATCGTTAATAACATCTGGGATAACGTCAAGAAGACGATTCAGTATATTTGTGGTAATGGGTAAACGAATATCGAATGTATTGCCTAGTCGATAAGCCCCTGCCACTAACTTTTGAATGACAAATGCACGAGTTGGATCTTCAAAGTTCAACATCTTATGAGCATAAGCTATTGCAGACAAATATGTTGATATTGTTCTGGGAGAGAAGGCTTCTTGAAACAAATATGACACAAAAAGAGCCACTGTAGTTACACTGAATGGGACACTGTTGGGTATCTTAAAAGACCCAGAGAATGTATCAAATGTTGTCCATGCTCTTTTATAAGTAAGTTTTGTAGAAGGGGCTAATGCAGCTGAGGCCAATTTTGCAATGTTGTCCAAAAGTTGTTTGGCATCAATTCCTCTGGAATTGCTGACGGCTCCCTTCGTGCATCTGGTGCCAAATGTAGAAACTCTTGTACCTGCAACCGAGAAAGACTATCCGCTAGAACATTATTCTTACCCGGTATATGCTTAGCGCGGAAATTGATATTATGTTTCAAACATGTGAGTACAAGATATCTAACCATCTGCATGACCCTATTATCCTTACTTGACTGTTTATTAATGACAGAAACTAATGCTTCATTGTCCGTAAAAAATAAGATGGAGTGATTTGCCCACAAATCTCCCCAAATACACACTGCTAGCACAATTGGATAGAATTCTAGTGTCATGATATTTAAATTTCTCCATTGCTCTGGGAAAGAACCGAAAAACCATCTTGAATTGTAAATACCTGAAAAACCTTTGGATTTTGCCGCATCAGTAAACAACTTCATGGAGTTAATTGATAAATATTGCTCTTCTAAAAACATAGTTTTGCCATTATAACTACTAAGAAATGCAAGCCACATAGCCATGTCTTCCTTACACTCTCTATGAACTGTTAAGAATTTTTGCTCTTCTGAAATTCCTAAAAGCAAATTTATCATACGTCTTAAAAAGGCCCTCCCTGGTAGTATGACTGAGCAAGCAAAGTTCAAGACTCCAATAAGTGACTGCATTTCTTTTACCCTACACTTGTCTATGTTTTGAAACTTAGACAACAAGCCTATACATTTTTCAATTTTGTCACTTGGCAAACGGGTCTCTTTAAGTCTAATGTCAATTGTTATGCCAACAAATTCAATGACCTGAGTAGGAAGAACTGTTTTATCTGCAGCTAACGGAATGCCTATATCTTCACATATTTCAAGAAATTCTTTAAATTTTTTCAATGCTAACGGCTTGGACTTTTCAATAAAAAGAAAATCATCTAGTATGTGAACAACCGCCTGAACACCTAATCTGTGGACTGCAATCCACTCAAGGGCAGTACTAAACTCTTCGAAAATTTTGCAGCTAGTGCGGCAACCCATTGGTAAACATCTGTCATAATAATAATTGTCTTCCCAATGAAAACCTAATAACTCATAATCATTCGGAGAAACAGGTAAAATGCGAAAAGCTGATCTTATGTCTGTTTTACAACAAAATGCACCCTCCCCAATAGCCTTGATATGTGAAATAGCCTCACTAATTCCAGAATAATGAACAGCTGCTGCCTCATCCGTTATTCCCGCATTTACTGAGCCTTCTTTTCGATTAGGATAAGATAAATGGTGTATCAACCGATACTGATTTGGCGATTTTTTAGGAACAATACCTAAGGGGGAAATTTTCATATTATTAAAAGGTGGTTGACTAAAGGGACCCTTGATCCGACCAGCACTTAATTCCTTGGAAATTTTATCAGAAACAATATCAGGGTGTTCTAATGCTGATTTGAGGTTAGGACTGAATTGATGTCCCCTTTCCCCTGTAAATTCTAGACTGAAACCGTATTTGAAACCATTTATCAAGTACTGTGCTTTATTATTGTCATACCCTTCTAAATAATGTTCAATCTGTTTATTCTGATGGGGGTGGGAAGATGGTTAATCTTTTTTATCAACAGATTGGGAAGAGCTAGTTTTTGTGTATGTTTGTCTTTTGTTGTAATTTGCTCTGTCATTATTTTTCCAACATTGGGATTTTGGGTGGTCTTTGTAGCAAGTTGCACAGATGTGGGGGAATTTGCATTCAGAGTGGCATGATTTTCCTTCATTGAACCTGAAGCAGTACTGACGAAAGGGCTGCTTCCGAAAAGAACCTACACTACCTTGGGAACCTCCCAGTTTTTTCATAAGGGCCCTACTGTAAAGAACTTGATCTATGTGTCTCCATGACAAGGACCTGTCCCCTTGTTTTGCCTTTCGAAAATTAATGTCATAGTGATACCAGTCCCCCCATCTTTCTGTAATGATCTGATTAAATCCATATAGATGGCTAAATCCTCGTGCAAATCAACCTCAGTATTGTTGAAGTGTCTAAGAACCGAAGCGTAAATACTAAAGGCATCAGTCCACGCTTCGATTGTCAGAAACTTCTTCTTCTTCCCTGAACTCAGACCCACTCTACCTTTGTTTTTTACTGCTAAGTGAAAATCTAAAAACTCTATATCAGAAGGGGGATCTAACACATCTGACATTTCAATGAATTCATTAGCACAAATTTTTTCTTTGATTTTCGTAGATACCTTGGTGTATAAGGGCCTGCCTAGTGGTTTATACATGTCATTATCAAAACTATCTGAAATTACAGAATTCTTTTGTGAACCTGAGATTGATGAGGCAGGTAGTTCTACAACATCCTCTTGGGGTTGCTCTACCGGAGTCTCCTTAGATACAGTTTCCTTTGTGGCATTTGATGTTGTTTTTCCTGACAATGTTTCTGTGGAACTAGAGTTGGCACTGTCACTCAGAGAAGTAGAGTCAGTGGTAGGAGTCTTAGGCAAAATACCTGCTTTTTGAAGCTCCGAAAGGACTGTTGCAGTCACGTTTTGCGTTATGTCCAGTACCATTTGGCTTTCTTCTGTCCCCGTTTTTCTCCTCTTTGCAGGCCTTTCCTCCTTGTTCTTTGATCTTTGGGCCCTCCTCATTTTGCAGCTTCCATATAATAGTACTGTAAAATATATGTCTAAATTTACTAGTATGCCTTAGGCCATGAAATGACCCTTGATTCATATCATGCCAAACTACATGGCTTAAAATCTACCCCATCTATATGCATAATATATACTGTTTGAAATGCAGAGAAAGGCATTACAGCCATGTATTTGGCAAGATAAATCAATGCTCATATGCTACCATTATACCAATTGCCACCGTCTTAAACCAAAATTCATGGTCATTACCTAGCTTATCAGATTAACTGATATCATGATAATAAACCAAAATACATGGCTTAAAAATTAATAATATAATGAACCAAAATACATGGCTTAAACAGTTAAGAAATGAATATAATAAACCAAAATACATGGCTTTAAAGTTGATAATATAATAAACCAAAATACATGGCTTAAAAGTTGATAATATAATAAACCAAAATACATGGCTAGCAAAGTTGATCGTATAATAACCAAAGTACATGGCTTAAAAAGTTGATAATATAATAGACCAAATACATGGCTTAAAGTGCTGATGATAAACTATACCAACTACATGGTTAATCGGGTTGATACGATTATAAACCAAAGTACATGGCTTATAGGGTTGATATGGCGATAGACCAAATTACGAGGCTTATGATGTTTGAATAATGTTATGACAAGGATTCGTAGCTGATAATGTCAATATTGGTTTGAAGCCACAATACATGCTTTAAGGTTGATGATGCTGACCAAAATACATGATTAGCATAATGCAAATTCATTGATTCTATTTATTTATTTGATTTTTTTTTTTTTTTTGAATAATCACTTCCAATTATATAAATAGATATCCCATTATATAAGCTTATAAAGAGGAGGAGAATCATAACTGAAATTGGAAATATACATCCCTGTTAATCTTTTGCCAGGTGACGAACAGCATGCATAATTGCCAGCCGTAAACTTCTGTAAAACTTTTTATTCCCAATTCTGGATAAATGTACCCCATCATCACTGATAATCTGCAATGGGCTGTGCATGAGTCTAAGATGTTTCCAATAATAATAGAACTATGTACTTCACACATGTCCTTTAGCATCTGATTGATAATGGTACGCCTTGATTCATAAGTCTGTGCATCTATGTGTCTGGGACGGGTGCGAATGAAGACTTCACAAATAAAAACACTGTCAAGGAAAGTAAACTGCTTCAACAAAGCTTCTAACCACTCTATTAAATCGCACGCAAACACCTCTGGTTTCATCCTCACACTACAAATATCATTTCCACCAATTTGTGCAATGATAACACGTGGGCGAAACGACTGTATCACCGAATACACGTTAGCGTCCCTTTGAAATCTGTCTAGCGTGCCCCCGCTGAGACCGCACAGCTTCACAACACATTGCTCCAGATCAAGACCAAAATTTTGTTTTATGTCCTCAGATCGCCCCAAAATACACTTTAATCTTCCAATAAAACTGTGACCGATGATCAATACTTTCTCAAATTTTTTTTAAAAAATTTTTCTCAGCCTCCTCACAAAAAATGTCTACTGTCTTACAAACTGTATAAAGTGACGCTAACTCTCGACCAATCAGATTGCATCATTGAACCTGAGGCTCCCAGCAGGGAAAAATTGCATAGGCCCTTATAATGGTTTACAGTTACAACTAATTTACTACATAAACAATATATATGTTGAACATAACACAAAATGAACACAACTTGCAATATTAAATCATTCGTCAGCATAAAATTATTTACTGTCATAAATGATATATATATATATATATATAAAGAAATAAGTTGTGAAAACGATTAAAAAGCGAAATGTGCAAAATATTTTCGTCATTCACCGATCTCAAAATTGACGGAAGCTTCGTTTCATATAGTCGCCTTCAAATGCGATTCAAACAAGAAACTTTATAGCCACCGAAATAAGTTATTAATCCATTATGTCATTCATATACTAATTCTTCCCCATACTCATTTTTGCAAACAATATCATACAAATTGAAATGATCATCACCATCAACACGACCAATTAATTTCTCTTTTATATGGAGAATATGCTGTTTCAGCCCGAGACACCAAAATCAGCCAGAGGACCGAAGGTCTGAGGGCTGATATTGGTCGAGGGCTGATACATGATGTGATGTGGAAAAGCGTGTGTTTTATTATGTTTATTACATACTTAGTAATAAAATACAGAACACGTTAAGATGAGAAGAAAATAAGTAAAAAATCATGCGCAGACTTCTTACAATGTACACGGTCTGTTGTCTCATACGGTTTGGTTTTGTTTCTACATGTACTATTTCAAATGTCCACGATCTGTTATTTGAAAATAATCTATTATTTGTCAATAAGATTATCCTTACATTCAAAAAGTTAAGATTAAGAGAATTATGTATCCCCCAAAATATTTGTATGATTGCAAGAACTTTTTTTAGGTTTAATTTACTAAGGGAGTAATACTGATTTGTATCAGCCCTGCAAATACACTCAGCCCTGCAAATCCGTATAAGCCCTGAAACGGCTATTGTGACATAAGCCATATGCATATCGCATATGCAAAAATCCTGTATTTATTACTAAGTAATTAACAAATAAAAATATATATCTTTCCTCTTTTGTAGTATATGTATGTCATGAATATTGATAAGTTAGCAACCGATCGGAATGTAGGACATCATTTGAGGCATTATGTGGAGTCGACAAAACTCCTGACTAAAAGTCCGATGGCTGCAGAGATTTGTGGGTTTTCTTTCAATATCAGACACAAGGAGCTTACAGAAAAATGTAGCTGTACATCATGGAGAGGATAGAAAAAAAACTTTATCTTATTTACTATTTATTACTATTTATTTACATATTAAAAACCCCTCAGTACATAACACATATGAGATGAATCTTTTATAAATATGTTTCCTTATTCATTTATCTAATCGAGTTTCTTTTGCTACAATGGTAGAGACATTTGAAATATTGTGTTATTTTAATTTACCGGTATTGCAATTCTTATAAATTGCCTTCTATTACGTTCAGGCGTAAGGATCATAAGTAACACATACTACAACAATGGAGGAGTTGAAATATTGCACAGTGGGGTCTGGGGAACTGTGTGTAATGATGAATGGGATAATAACGACGCAGCTGTTGTTTGTCGTATGCTAGGATTCTCTGGGTAATGTGGAAATAAATCTATTTTGGATCGTTACATTTGGTTAATTATGATCATAGTAAATTTCTGCAAAAACTTGTCATATGTTTATGTTGACTTGATGATTTGTGTTGATTTGTAAGATATTTATGTCAAATTGTCAAATAATTATTTCGACAAGGAACTCGGTGGTATCTTGTTTTTACAGTATGTCAAAGCTATAATCTGCTTCTACATGTCATCCTAATATATGAAAAGACGAAATATATTTCTAACCAGTACATATATGTATATTTTCCTGACAAGTTGACATCAATTTCTGACAAGTGAACTTGTCCGTTTTTATGTAGACTTTAAGACACTGATGTTGATTTGTGTAATGCTATGTCAACTTTTCAGAAAAATTATGTTGACTTGTAAGATATTATCTATGTGGACTTGTCAATTATTTAATATATCGACCTGTGAGAAAAATATGCTTTCAAATGATAACCTAAATTGAACATCTACATATTTTCAATTTGAATTTTTACAAACATGATAACGATACAATTAAGTTAACAAAAAGATCTCATAAGTTGACATGATTAAACAAAACAACAACAAAAACCTGCCAAGTCGGAAATTATCTTAAAATTGGGGGAGAGGCAGAAATGATAATAGTAAAACAAAACTCTTTCTTGAGAATGAATTCTGTCAGGTTACTATCTAATTAAAATATTCAAAGAAAATTTGCATGATTTTTGTTTTTTTTTTTATTGTATTTTAAGGAATTTTAAGATCATTTTTAAACAAAGGACAAGATCGTGTAAAACCCCTTTTTGGCCTCTGGATTGGGGTGTCTTTTACAATGATGCAACAGTTTCTAAATTGAAAACTACTTATCACCCCTGCCACAAAATGAGTATTGGTTCTAAGTTATGACATACACAGAGGTCACAGGAATGTCAGAAATAGGTCAATTTTGAAATTTTCTCATTTTTATGCAAATTTTAATTAAATTTATAGCACATTTTCTTTCATAAAACATAGAGCACAAGATTGCCTTTCTAAAAAAAGTCATACAGCTCAACGCACTTTTTAAGCTCACGTGGTTTTTTGCACAAATTAAGGTCACATTATTATTATTCGAAATTGTGTAACGAGGCAACAAAAATATATTTAAAATGATTTTTAACTTACTTTTAAGTTTATGTCACTGACTTAAATCATAATTCACACATAATTATTGGTAGATTTTGATATACTCTTGGCTTGGCTGATGGATTGTGATGGTTCCCAAATGGTTTTTCGTGGTTTCTCGTCAAATTTAGCCGTCTATTTACCCGTTCTTTTTAAGCAGTACTTTGCCTTGCATTGACTCAAAAACAATGTAAATCATGTAACTTTCGTATTTCTGTACAAAACATGGGCATTATCCTGTTATTGACTTCGCGAAGTTAATAAGTTTGACGTTGTTGACGTTAACGTCAAATTCATCCCAGATCACTTTTATACTCCAGACATTCTCAGATTTTCATATCGCTTGCAACGTACAGTTTCAATGCTGGGTTCGTAATGTTCAAATTGTTTGCAACTATTTTACCCACAGAAGCGAATCAAATAACAGGAGTATATATTGTTCGACAAGGGTCTTAAAAGCCTTTGTATTTCACCATGAAGCGACTCACATAACGGGAGTAAATAGCGACGCAAGTAAAGCCCAGAACTAATTTGATTCGCGAATCTAATAACAGGAGTATATATAGAGAGACGGAGGTACTATTTAAAGAGTATGTATTTCACTGAAAGCGAATCAAATAACAGGAGTATATATAGAGAGACGGATATCATTCTAAAAGGTCTAAGAAGGGGAA